AGAGAGAGAGAGAGAGAGAGAGAGAGAGAGAGAGAGAGAGAGAGAGAGAGAGAGAGAGAGCTTCATGGGAGGTAACCTACATCCAGCGTCAAACTTAATGACATCAAACAAAAGTGCTACAGTGGAATTGATATGACACTATCTATGGGTGATATTCGGTTAGCTAGTTAATGGATAAATCGGATACTGCATCGATAACCAACGGTACTCGGTTATTCCGACAGTATACGTTAACTAAAATTCAGCTCTCAGTATACCAAGTTATACCCCGTTAGTAACTGGCGATTAACCGGTATACCAAAAGATACCAGATGATAGCTGGAATTCAAGACTTTCCCATCTTCATTCTCATTCTACACGAACAACAAAGCCTAGGTAAAACTAATCCAAATTTCTTCTCCTCTTCTTCCTTTTTCCTTGTGTTATCTTCATCATCGTTGGGGAAATGAAGGGTGAGGCAGCAACCGTTGGGGAAATGAGCGACTGAGATTTGAGTACTTGAGAAGGGTATCAGGGTCTGGCTGAGACGTTCGGTCACAAAACTGGATGGAGAGGCTCACGAACTCACCCTTAGCATTGTCCGGTATACCGTTAATCGACCGAATATCAGCCCTAGTTGTATCGTGAGAAATTTTTCATGTTGTGTTGAGAAATGAAGTGTGAGGTAAGTCCAATGTGTGAGACATCTTTTCATTCCACAATATCGGGTTTTGAAAGAGATACTAGTGGTTGTTTAGTGACCCTTTTCGAAGCCGGTCCTTCTCTCTAGTACAATTAAAAGTTCACGTTGAATTTATAGTCAACTTGAGAATGTATTTTTAAGAGCACGAATAAAACTTCCGACACCTCTTAATGTCATTGTCACTGCACACAAATTTATATGTAGGAGTTAAAAGAAGTACTCACATGAATGCAGAGATACAAAAATGGCTCTTGCTCAACTAATAAGGGTCTAATTCTCTAGTAAATCTCCGTTCACAATAAAACAAAAATATGGTAAACAAAAAATTTGAAAATTTGAAAAAGATGTGTTTTTGAGACGACAAAAGTTCTTAAAGGGTATTGTCAAGTGCTGGTAGAAGCATTTAAAGAGCTAAAACAGTTTTCAAAAAGCTTCACTATATTTGTTTTTAGACTCTAATGCATTGTTAGTGGTTTAAGATTGAGTTGGATTATATGATGTTCTTGCATGTTCATGTGCTTAGGATTCTCTCGTGCTATTATTGACCTTATAAGTTCACTTTTGATCCACTACCTAAGATCATGCTCGAGTGATACACCTTAGTTTTTCATTGAGTTGTATGATTGTGAGTTGTGTTTGCTTCGGGGCAAGCCAATTTCAAGTGTGGGGTATTTTTTATAACACTTCATTTATATTGTTTTTCACTCTCATATTTGGTATATTTTCCCCTACTATCAATACATCTTTAAAAATTCTTACTTAATTTCTTATGAATGTCATCACTGATCACTACTTGATCAATGAGCTATTATTATAGCTAGATTATGCTTTTTGCATCCTTTTATGTCTTTTTGGTATATTTTTTGTGTTTTTAAAGCAAGACACAAGCTAAGATTCTTTTGATCAAATTTTGGATGATTATGGAGGATTAATGGAGCATAATTGCAAATATCAAGGAGTTTTCACCTTTAAGACGAAGCCTAATGGAGGGAAGTATTATGGGAGTCTCAACCACTGCCCAAGAGGAAGACAATGGAGAAAACTCAGCCCAATTCGAAAAAAGGAATCGACAATCAGTCACGGATGGGTCCAACCGCTGCTAGTCCGGAACATTGAATCTGGAATCCAAATCGCCAAGAGACTTTGCTTGGCCCACAACAAGTCCAACCCAAGACGAAAATGTACAACAATGAATTCCGCCAATGGCTACTGCTCGGAGTTTAAGTCACTACTAGCTCATAGGGCCTGGATAGTATAACAACAACCAGGGCATAACAGTAAACTAACAATAAATAACAAATTAAAATAAATAAATAAACATAATTGAATTACCTAAGCGTGTTTTGATCTCCCTGCCTCCCCAGCAACAGTGGCGACCGAATCTATACATCCGAAAAACAATTTTCTCCGGCGCAATCCTCTACCATCGCCCCGCCAATCCGCATCTCTCCCATCGCCGGCGCCATCGCACGAGCTGGGAAAAAAATTGTCTTCAATCACCATGAACCGCCTGGCGCCAGTATCAGAAGAGCCCATAACCAGGGACGAACAAATCTACAGAGGCGGGAGGAGAAGCCACCATTATCACACTCCTTCGACCAAATCTTCCGGCGTCCTTCCGCCGCCGTTTCCAGACCACACTGCCGCATGCGCGCATAAACGAACGCCACCCTTTTCCTCTCTGTTTCCTCATTGGTCGAAGAACAGAAAATTGCAGAGAGGCCATTTATCTGTGCAGCCATTGGTTGAATTTGGTCTGCTCTTTCCTAGGCCCTCCTTTTGCTCTCTGGTCTATATGCTTATGCAGATTGCACTAACCAGACTGAGTGAATGCTGTTGCAGCAGAAGAAGGATGGCAAAAGGAAAGTTAAATAAGAGAGAGAGATAAAAAAAAAAGCAAAGGCATAGAGGAATAGAGAAGATAGGATAGGAGTAGGACCCATCTGCCCCTCTTTAGCTCCAACTTTATGGTATAATTCAATGGATCCAGAAATGGCTGCCATTTCCAGTTTCGCTTCATTTTCGTCCAATTCCGAAATAAGAAAATCATACTTCGTTTGTTCTATCCTAATGGGAATTTGATACTATGACGATGATAAAGCTTTAGGCGATGATGATGATGATATGATGATGATGAGAATTTCATATTTGTATATAGTGGTAAAGTGAGGTCAATCTCATGGTTTAAACTACGTTGCTGTTACTGTTGGAGTGGAGTTGAGGTTATCATCAAACACTTTCTGGTTGTACTCAATTGGAGCTGCTAGTTTCAGATATGGTTTTCTTTTTGCCAATTTATATATGCATTATTAGTAATACTAATGCAGATCCAATTGTAATACTTATTATATAAGCAATACTAATATGAGAATTGAGACCTCGTCACAAAGCTTGAGGAGGCTCTGGACGTCTACAAGGAGATGCAAACTTTTGGATTTGGACGAGATGTTGTTACTTATAATGCACTCATAAACATGCCATCCACAAACACGGTAAAACAATCCACAAAAAGCGTACCAGAAACCTCCCGATCCATACCACAAATCCCCTAAAACAAACCAAAACCCCCACAAAGCATACCACAAATATTCCGAAAGCACACCAACCTCATAATGCAAACCACAAACACGGTAAAGCAAACCACAAACCTCCTAATGCAGACCAAAAATATATTAAAACAAACCAGAAACCCCACAAATCAAACCATAAAATTTTCGAAAGCACACCATAAACTTCTTAATGCAAACCAGAAACACAATAAAGCAATCCAGAAACCTCCGAATGCATACCACAAATCTCCTAAAACAAACCACAAACCTCACAAAGTAAACCACAACATTTGCTAAGCACACCAGAAACCTCCTAATGCAAACCACAAACACAATAAATCAAACCACAAAAGAGCAAACCATAAACGTCCTAATGCAGACCACAAATATATTAAAACAAACCAGAAACCCCTCAATGCAAACCACAAAATTTTTGAAAGCAAACCAAAAACTTCTCAATGCAAATCACAAACACGATAAAGCAAACTAGAAACTTCTTAATGCAAACCACAAAAGGCATACAAAAATATGAGAAACCAAACCATAAATCTCACAATTCAGACCATAACATTCGGTGGTCGTTGACCGTTGACCGGTCAACGAAGTTCGTTGACCAAACTCCGATGACCGTCAGTGAGTAGATTCCGGCGCCGATAAGCATATTCCGACCCCGGTGACTAGATTCCGATGCCGGTAAGCATATTCCGGCGACGGTGAGCATATTCCGGCGACAGTGAGCATATTCCGATGACAAAATAGAATATTCCGGTGACAAAAAAGCATATTCCGGTGACCGTCGACCAGATTCCGGTGACCAAAATTTTGGGCAGAAAAATAAAAACAATATTTTTTATTTTTTTTTTTATTTTTTATTTAAAAATATTTTTTTTATTTCCCCCCTCCCCCTCTCTTCCTTCCTTCTCTTGCACCCCAATTCGGGGGCAAGCCGAAACAGTAAATTTGCACTCCCGTTTTGCACCCCTACTGTTCCAAATTAACAAAACAGGTGCAAATGTGTTGGAAACTGTGTTTACCCCTCACATTTACACCCTCCTCCCATTTACCCCTCTTCCCAAATCCCAAATATAGTGTAAGAGATCAACACTCTTACTTGCCTCGAGGCTCGAGGTTAGGGATGGCAATGGGTCGGGTCGGGCGCGGATAGTGCATATCCGTTACCCTACCCATAGTAGTTCGGGTTTTACCCATACCCATACCCACATGTGAAATGGGTAGAAAATCAAAACCATGCCCATACCCGTTCGGGTTTCGGGTATCCACGGTTATCTATGGGTAATAATTTCTCTTCATAACTTCAACCAATATGTTAACATTCATACGTATTCTCACATTACGTAAGAGGAAAAGTACGACAATAATTCACTAGGATGAAGAAAATTAATTAAAACTACACAATTTCATGAAAATGTTATATTTATATGCTAAATATAAAATATGTTAGAGAAAAATATTGATTATTTCTAGACAAAATACATATGCATGTGTATAATCGGGCGGGTTCGGGTTGGATAGTGAGAAACTCATGCCCACCCATTACCCGCAATATTCGGGTTCAGATTTTACCCGTACCCACTAAATGTCCTTCGGATTCAGGTTTTACCCTACCCAATTAGGCCGGATTCGGGCGGATATCCACGGTTACGGATATTTTTGCCATCCCTACTCGAGGTAAACAAGGGAGGGAAACACGTCCCAATCCAAATGTGAAATGTAAAAAAGATGCCGACAAATAAATTTTTACGGGACACCTGTTCTTCTAAGACAATGGGTGTGGTCCAAGTACGGGAGCCCAAATTAAAAGCCCAAAACGCGCTAAAAATTCGCGTGAGCGATGACGCCATCGGCCACAAAAGCAGAAAGAAAAGTTGGACACGACCAGACCAGAGGTTGCGTGGAGACCGTGGAGACGGTGGTCGGCGAACCGGATTCGCGAGCAGTCGCTTCTATAAATAAATGCCACACACCATTGCTGGAATTCCTCTGCTTCTCTCAACATTTCCTTCCTCTGTGGAATTTGATTTCTTCACGAGCTGCTGCTGCCGCCACCATGGGTAGACGTAAGTTCTCCAACCCTCCTAGATTCTGCCATCTACTCTTGCATGGAACTACTGTTTGTAATCAATTCTATTGTGAATCTGCCTAAAGTTGATGCCTATTTTGAGAAAAGATTGTTCTTAAGATCGTCTAGAGTTTATAAGCGATGGGTCAGTATTCCGATGTTGAATTGTTGTAAATCGATGAATGATTGTTTGATGTGGTGTCTTGGTGGTGGGGATTACTATATATTTCAGGACCAGCAAGGTGCTATCGCCAGATCAAGAACAAACCCTACCCTAAATCGCGTTTCTGTCGCGGTGTCCCTGACCCCAAGATCAGGATCTATGATGTCGGGATGAAGAAGAAGGGTGTGGATGAGTTCCCATTCTGTGTCCATTTGGTGTCATGGGAGAAGGAAAACGTGTCCAGTGAAGCCCTCGAGGCTGCCCGAATTGCTTGCAACAAGTACATGACCAAGAGTGCTGGGAAGGATTCTTTCCATTTGAGGGTCCGTGTTCATCCGTTCCACGTCCTGCGCATCAACAAGATGCTTTCGTGCGCTGGAGCGGATAGGCTCCAGACCGGGATGAGGGGTGCGTTTGGGAAGCCGCAGGGAGTTTGTGCTAGAGTCGCCATCGGGCAAGTTCTTCTCTCCGTTAGGTGCAAGGACAACAACAGTCACCATGCTCAGGAGGCTCTCCGCCGTGCCAAGTTCAAGTTCCCTGGCCGCCAGAAGATCATTGTCAGCAGGAAATGGTATGCCTCTCTGCAATTGAAAGAATCGACTATGCATATCATGAATTTTGGTAGAAGGCTTGATAACTTTGTTGTCTGCTTAATCTGATGCCATTTGATCGTGCCCCGTACTATCTCAGTTGTCTGTTTATTCGTGATGGAAAGTGCAGTCGTGCATACACCCCATGAAGCCATCTAATGTATAGATTAACTGCTGTTTGATGATGCAGGGGATTTACAAAGTTCAACCGTAGCGATTATGTGAAGCTGAAGCAAGAGAACAGGATCCAGCCTGATGGTGTGAATGCTAAGGTTAGTTCTATCTATCTCCACAATGTCAAAGTTTGCTTTGAACAATCTGGGATAACTGTGGTGCATTTGTTTTCTCCTTTCTTCACTCGGTTCTTTCTTTATTTTGACACTACTGCTACATGGCATATACTGCAGCTTCTTGGATGTCATGGGCGGTTGGCTAATCGAGAACCTGGAAGAGCTTTCTTGCCCTCTACTGCAACTGCATAGGATGGTGCAGCTGTTCGATGTGCGCTTCGAGCTGACTGAGTGGCTTTGGAGGCAGAGTGTCTGATGGTCTCTTTGTTTGTTGTATTAATTGGTTTCCGCGATGTATTGCAGTACTAGTGTGTGTTAAATCCATGTGAGGTGTGACCTTTTCGACTCATATCGTATGTGAGGAGAGCGACCTCACCGTATCCTCTGGTGTTGCACCGGACTCGAGTGCATATGTAAACTACTACCTGTTCTGTATGAACATTGATATATACTATTATTATATAATATAATAAAAGGCAGCCGTTTTGTATTAACATTTGTGGATTTGATATGAAGATTTTGGTAAAACCGAAAATCATTGATATATGAGGGTTTTAGATTGATTAGTGACATGAAAAATATGAGTTTTGTTTTTTTTATTTATTTATTTATTGAAGGGAGGCAAGAGCCGGAGGATTGCAAACTCATAACGGCCAGAAGTAGAACACAAAAGCTCAGGACAAACTTAAACAAGGCCAAAACAGGGGATCAGAGAGGCAGGACCAAATCCACACGGATCATATGCCTTCATCTCTAATAACTTGTCTAGGAAAGCTAATTCCCATCTCTAATAACTTGTCTAGGAAAGCTAATTCCCAAAGTGTTATCTCTAGGACCAAATCCACACGGATCATATGCCTTCAGCTCTAATAACTTGTCTAGGAAAGCTAATTTCCAAAATGTCATCTCTGCAAATTCTATTGAGCTCCAAAGGGGATCAATTAGCTCATGCGTACCGAAGGGATAGATCCAGGCATCGAGCTCGCTACTGAAGAAGCTCCCTCTACTTTGCTGATCCAAGATCCTGTTCCAAACTGCTTTGGCCCTGCCACAATCCCTTAAACAGTGAAGGTTGGTTTCTGCTGTATTCTTGCACTCAGGACACGAATCATTATCAATTAAGTGCCTGTGCTTTCTGATGTTGTTCGTGGTGAGTTTCCCTTGCGCCACCATCCATATGAATACTCTGACTCGTTCGGGGACTTGAAGTTTCCAAATAGTCTTCCAAATAGAGCTCGATTGTTGATCGGCCTGCTTCTGGATTGCCTTATACGCAGAGCTAACGGAGAAATGGCAATTTGCAGTAATCCGGATCCCATAAATCAGCCACCTTACGATTTAATTAATCCACTGGAACCTCAGAAGTAGCCAGCTCCTTCAATGGTATCTGCGAAACCCAGGAATCACACCAGAAATTAGTTCGATTACCATTCTTAATATTCATGGCAAAACCCTTCTTCAACACATTAGCAACGGAGACAAAGCTTCTCCAGGCGAGAGAACTTCCCTGTTTTTTTTTTTTTTTTTTTGCAGGATGTTGATGCCTTCTCTGTTGCCGCCATATTTGTCGAGTAAGAGTTTAGTCCATAGGGTCTCCTCCCTCGTAGCTAGCTTCCAGCTTCCTTTGGCAAGCATGGCTTGGTTAGCTTGTTTAGTTGGCCGAATACTTGCTCCTCCCTGAGCCCTTGGTAGAGTTAATTGCTCCCACCAAATTGGATGGAATTTCCCTTCCCCTTCTTCTTCTCCCCAGATGAATTTCCTGTTTACCCTGTCCAAAATATTGCAAACAGAGGCAGGGAAAGCTTCGGAAAACATTGGATAGACTGCCATCGAAGAGGAGATTGATCTCACTAGAGTCAAGTGAGACGCAAGCGAGAGGTAGTTTGTCTTCCAGGAGGCAAGTTTTTTTTGGATACGAAGGATTATATCCTTGTATCTAGCCTTATTAACCCTTCCATGAATAGCATTAAGACCCAGATATCGCCCCAAATCGTTAGTGAGAGGGATATTGGTTAGGTCACTAAGCTGATGGGCCTTCTGACGACTGATATTTCGGGAAACAAACATCATGGACTTGCTCAAACTAACCTTCTGCCCTGAGCTTTCACAGAATTTGTCCAAGCATCTCTTAATTACCTCAACCTGTTTGGTCCCTGTCTCTGCAAACAAAATCAAATCGTCTGCAAAGAAAAGGTGAGACAGCTTAAAACCATGAGAGGTGAGAGATAATGGTTTCCATTCCTTGTTTTCCACGGCAAGCTCTATACGGTGAGAGAGGCGTTCCATATAAAGAACGAAGAGGTAGGGAGATAGGGGATCTCCCTGCCTGACTCCCCGCGAGGGCAGGATCTCCTCAGTAAGTTTGCCATTCCAATTAATCCTCATCATGTTCTCTTCCACACATTTCATGATTCTGCTGATCCAAGTGCTGGGGAGTCCAATTTCGATTAAGGTATCTCTGATAAACTCCCACCTGAGCCTATCATAAGCTTTTTCAAGATCGATCTTGATCACTACACCTCCCTTCTTCCCCTTCCTGCGTCGCAGAGAGTGTAGAACTTCTTGAAGAATTATGATGTTATCAGTAGTCTAACGTTTTGGGATGAAACCACTTTGAGTAGGAGCCACCAGATTCCTCATTAACGGCTTCAATCTGTTAGCAATAGTCTTCGTGATGGCCTTCAAATTGACATTGTTGAGGCATATAGGTCTTAACTAAGCAGGGGATTCCGGCTGATTAACCTTTCGAATGAGCACAATATTAGAATCAAGCACATCTGCCAGAAGGTGACCTGTTTCATAGAAAGAAGTGGCAAAACAACAATGTTCTGCCCTACTAAAGACCACAATTTCTGGTAAAAAACCGCCTGGAACCCATCAGGTCCAGGAGCAGAGAAAGGTTTCATCTCAAAAATTGCTTTATGAATGTCTGAAATGGAGAACAGGCGAAGAAGGGTTAAGAGATCTTCCTGACTAATTCTTGGGAAGCAATTCTTCGGAATCCGGTCTACATAGGGAGTGGAATCTTGCTTGTATAATCTGGCATAAAAGCCTACCACCAGCTGCTCCAACTAGAGGTGGCAAATGGATTGGATTGGTGGATTGGATTGGTGGATCCATGGATCAAACGGATTGGATCTAATGGATTGGTGGATTCATTGATTGGATCAAGTGGATTGGTGGATTATCCATGAATCCAAATGACATCCTCAATCAAGAACCAATATGTAAAATGTAAAAAGTTTAGGTACTAAAATGTCATAATGAAAAATTTTAGGTACCAAAACGTAATTTTCGAATGATATTTTTAGTATAAAAATTTAAATTTTAGGTACCAAAATGTAAAAAATAAAAATTATAGGTACTAAATCGTAATTTGCCAATGATCCATGGATCCAATCCATGAATCCACCAATCCAATTGGATTTGGATCAAATGGATTGGATTTAAATGGATTGGATTAGGTGGATATTTTTAATGGATTGATGGATTGGATTGGTGGATTGGATTGAAATTGCCACCTCTAGCTCCAACTCAACCGGATCTTCTACCCAATTGCCAGTATCGTCTTTAAGAACCAGAATCTTATTCCTTCTCTTTTTTCCTAGTGACTTGCTGATGGAAATAGGCCGAGTTTTTCTCTCCAAGCGTAGCCCACTTTTCATTAGCTCTTTGATACCAGATAACCTCCTCCTGGGCCAGCAAAATATCTAACTCTGCTTCGACTTTAGCTTGCAGTTTGATGAGGCCTGGATTGAAGTTATTCGCAATACTGGTCTGGATTCCCTTGAGCCGAGCCAGCAACCTCTTCTTCCTTTGATTGACAATACCAAAAGTCTCCTTGTTCCAGCTTTGCAGCTTGCTAGCAACCTCGTGAAGGGCTTGATGGAGATTGAGGTCTTTTTTCCAGGCAGTTGCAAAGAAGTTGTGGAAATCATTGTGAAGCAACCAAGCTGCCTCGAAGCGGAAAGGTTTCACACCGCTAGGTGTAGATTTATTTCTTGCACAGCTGGTTAAGATAGGGAGATGGTTAGAGTAAAGCTTGGGAAGGTGTTGAACAGAGGTATTAGGGTAAACCGAATTCCACTCTGAATTGCAGAAAGATCTATCAATTCTACTGGCTTTGAAATGGCCTCCTGAATTCCCTCTAAACCAAGTAAACCTGGCCCCTGAAAAGCCTAGATCAATAAGATTGGCTAGGTCAATCTAATCAGCAAACTTTTGACAACGTCTGAGCGCAGCTGATGAGATTGCTCCAGCTTTTTCATAAGGGAATCGGTAGGCGTTGAAATCACCAGTGATGAGCCAGGGGATTTGAGTATTTCTTCTAGTTTGTATAAGGTAATCCCACAGTTGTTGGTGATATTCGTAGTGAGGACTTCCATAAACACCCGTGAGTAGCCACTCTGTAAGATTTCTGTGGGAAAACTTGACGGTGATGTGTTGCCTGCTGGCATCAACAATCTGAACGTTAAAGTCCTCAGTCTTCCACGCCAGCCATATACCGCCTTGCCTGCCCTCTGCATCGACTCTCACTACTTCATCAAAACCCAGAGTCCCACAAACTCTGTTTGCACGATCTCCACTGATCTGGGGCTCAAATAGAAGAAGAAATCCAGGACTGTAGGATTTAACCAGAAGCTTAATCGCCCTCCTGAAATCTTTACTTCCAGCGCCACAAAAATTCCACGCTAGAATTTTAAAATTAGGTTGAACTGACATAGACAACATTAAGGGGGAGCTAAAGGAAAAGAGAAAAACAGGGTCCAAAGGCAAGCTCAAAATCTCAGGTAGTGGCCACCGGAGCGGCAGGAGATCCTCCCTGAGTATCCTTGTTATCAGGCCGGGGGTTTGAATCGGTCGCCACTTGATTCTCTTCCATGACCACATCCGACGACTTCTCGAGCATTACTAACATCCATATGATAAGATGCCAAGACTGAGCATCTGCAACTTCTAAAAGAAGTTTGACTAAATTTAGCTTGGCTACATGAGAGAAGGTGTGAAAGAAGTATATGCCATATGTTTGTGTATACTCATTTCCACCAGTTTAGCTCTCTAACGATCAAGTTGGCCACCAGGTCGATAAACCCTTTTTTTACCAACCACTTTCATTCCTGGTACACCATCCACAACTTTCCAGGTACATGCTTCATCTAGCGCATGAATTTATTTTGTCATAGCTTGTTGCCAACAAGCTTCTTTGACACCCAAAGAGTAGCATTGAGGATCAGGATGGATAGAAATAGAAAGGTTATAGTATTTGTTAGAAGGAGAGAGATTGTTGTAAGCTTGGTGACTGGAAAGGGTGTAAAGGAGATGAGAGTCATAGTCACGGGGGCGTGGATGTGGTGAGAAAACTGGTAAGGAAATCTTTAAGGTGAACATGTGGTTAAGGAACCCTGAGTAACCTCCTTAAAAGTTAAAGGTGGAGCTAAGGGTGGTGAGGATGAAGGGGGTTGAGGTGAGGAAGAAGTAGAAGATGAGG